AGGAATGTTTGGAAAAGTTTTGTAAACAAGAAGCAAATGAAATATGTAACATGCATTATGCTGCTCAAGTCACCGAAAAATGCTCTATTGGTGATCTGAAGAAACTTTCGTTGAGGATTGTTCTCGAATCAAGGGTCAAAGGTACGTCTTTTAATAGTTTTTGCTCCCGTTTTGTGGGGATCGTCCGGGCTTTGTTGCCTGATTGCTGTATGAAATAGCGCATGCTCCCCCAGTTTTTGCGGATATTCGCAGTTGAACGTGCAGCTGCTGCAAATTCGAAAAGCTTTTCTGCACATTTTCTTTAGAATGGGCAGATGTATTGACCAAATTAATCAATTGGTCCAGGACCGCTTACTTTGTCGTTGGGAGATGCACGAGCTGCATATTGGTCTTTTCTTGCCGCCTTTTACAAGTTAGCAATCATTTGTTTGCATGGATTCGATTTGCAGGTCACGAACAGATTGAGGAGAATGACGTGCATGAAGCACTGATTGATTTCCATCCGAGTTGCTCACAAATTGGGAATCCAATTAACTTAGTAAAAAGCGATTTAAAGTGGGAAGATGTCGGAGGACTGGACGATGTGAAACAAATCCTCACTGAAGTATTTATCTGGCCAACAAAAGTTCGTACCATTCCGACATTAATTTTTATTCCACTCAGCTTTTTTTTTTATTTTTTTTCGCCGACGGGCATGTCCCATGGCAGATTAGTGGCGCTGTAGGCCGGCAGTTCAACTTATTCAATGAGACAGCTAATTCCTTTACGATTCAATCATTCATTTCGACAACAAATTGATTTGACATGTGAGGGAGTTAAAGCCATTATCAACTTCTCGGCAGTTTTCGGTCGAATAAGCCATTGGCGGTTTTGCCATTTGGCTGATTGTTATTAATACTTGTCACAGCTCGGGCTACTTTCATGTGCTTCTGCTTCTCATGGAGAGTGAATATGGCACGGATTTCTGGCCTGATTTTAATTTATTTGATTTATTTTTCAGAATGACTTTTTCCTATTCTGTCTTTTGTTTTTTTAGGTGTGTCCTCCCTCCCCACAGGCGATGAGCCTTTCCCCCCCCCCCCCCCCCCCCCCCCCCCCCCCCCCCCCCCC